GTGTGTGTGTGTGTGTGTGTGTGTAGGAGAAGAGGTAGCATTGGGTATGAAGGAATGTGAATGTTTGGGGTGGGGGGAGGTGCCACCTTCAGGCAGCCTGGGCTTGACACCTTGGTACCAAGCCCATTTGGCCACGTCAGCCCCCTGTGGAAATGCCAAATTAGGACAAAGGGCTCCCCCAGCCAAGGAGTGCCACGCCCTGCCAGGCATTCAAAGCCTGGCAGCCTTGCTTATGGGCCACCCCTTCCACACCCTGCTGGCAGTGTGGTTCTCTCTTCTCCCCACCCCCAGCAGAAGGCCTACTCTCACCATCTCCACCCAGTAGGCCCAGCCCAGCTCTCATTGTCTACTCCCCTGATTCAGGAATGGCCTGGACCCCCCAATCCTGGAGGTGACCATCTCCTCTCTTCTGGGCAGGTTCCTAAGTGGGAAGGGCTTGGTGATCTACCCGAAGATTGGAGACAAACTGGACATCATCTGCCCCCGTGCAGAAGCAGGGCGGCCCTATGAGTACTACAAGCTGTACCTGGTACGACCAGAACAGGCAGCTGCCTGCAGCACCGTGCTGGATCCCAATGTGCTGGTCACCTGCAACAGGCCACAGCAGGAAATCCGCTTTACCATCAAGTTCCAGGAGTTCAGCCCCAACTATATGGGCCTGGAGTTCAAAAAGTACCACGATTACTACATTACCTGTGAGTCTCTACCTTCCCATCACATGGCTGTCTCCCTGCTCTTAGCTCTCTGTCTCCATGTAGCAGTGGGAGCTTCAGAGCATGCAGTGAGACTGTACAAGTTAAGGCCCCGCCTGATCTGATCCCCTTTGAAGACTGGCATGATCCACTCCCAGCGTGGTCTTGAAATTCTGGCCCCAGCATTCACCACGTGGCCTGCTGCCAGCTTGCCTAGGCTCCAGGGCTTTGGTGGGAGAAGCCTCCAGTTCGTGTTGCTGTCTCTGTTCTTTCTTGGGAATGGCAGAATTGGCAGAGCCCTTTGGGATCAGTCAGCTGTTCTGCCTTTTTCTTGGGAAACTGAGGCCTCAAGAAGTGAATAGGGCTGAGGGTGCAGCTCGGTGGTACTGTGCTTGCCTAACGTGTGTGAGGCCCTGGGTTCTATCTCCAGCATTAAAGAAAGAAAAAAAAAGGTGAATGGGCTTCTGACCTTAGGTCACATGAGGAGTTAGGGATAGAATTGGGACTTCAGTGTGGTTCTCCTGACCCTAATCTAGAATTCCTTCCAGTCTATGTTAAAGCCCCTCTCATGATGCCAGTTTCATTGCTTTGGCCCTGAGCAGTACCTCCCAGTGAGAGGACACACCTTCGTGTTGCTCCTGAGAAAGGGCCAAGGCCTGGTTATGAGGAGCAGTGCCCCTGGGGAGAGGCTTATGCTTGGCCTAGCTGGGCTACTCTATTCTTAGTGCGAGGGAGGGAAGTAGAGAGGTTCACGGGTAGTTGAGAGCTACTTGCCACTCTCCACTATAGTGACCTTATTTTTATTTATTTTTTTGCAGTATTGGGGTTCAAAACTCAGGGCCTTGTGCTTGCTAGGCTAGTGCTCTACCCCTTGAGCCATACTAGTGGCTGTTCTTCGCTTACCCTAGATGATTCAGTCACTGGTGGCCGAGGCAGCACTGGGGTCTCTGGGTAATGATGGCAGACCTTTCCCTCTTCCCAACTTCTGACTCCTCTGGCCTCTTCTGCAGCAACATCCAATGGGAGCTTAGAGGGACTGGAGAACCGGGAGGGAGGTGTGTGCCGTACACGCACCATGAAGATAGTCATGAAGGTTGGACAAGGTGAGTGCCCACTTAGGCCTTTGGGATGCATGTTCCTGGATGGTTGGGAGTGTGTTGGGTTGGGGAGAGACCATAGGGCTAGAGTAACTGAGATCCAATATTCAGGCCAGTCTTGGTCCACCCTAGATTATTGAGGGCACTCAGGCTGGCAGGGTCTCTCCCTTTCATCTGTCCTCTCCTTACCCTCAGATCCCAATGCTGTGACACCAGAGCAGCTGACTACCAGCCGGCCCAGCAAGGAGGCAGACAACACTGTCAAGACAGCCACACAGGCCCCTGGTCGAGGACCCCAGGGTGACTCTGATGGCAAGCATGGTGAGTAAACATAGGTATTTCCTCGGAGGACAGAAGTCATTGGTCATTTGCCCTTTTGGGCCTTGTGTCTGAAGAAATGCAGGCTGGGCCAAGACAGCTTCTTCAACTTCAAGGTAGCATTGTTTGTGGCCATCAATGTTGGCCTTGTCATCTTCCCTGGGCTGACCATTCATCTTCTCCCTTCCCTTCCCCTTCCTCAGAGACTGTGAACCAGGAAGAGAAGAGTGGCTCAGGTGCAGGTGGGGGCAGCAGCGGGGACGCCGACAACTTCTTCAACTCCAAGGTGGCATTGTTTGCAGCCGTTGGGGCTGGTTGTGTTATCTTCCTGCTCATCATCATCTTCCTGACAGTCCTTCTACTCAAGCTGCGCAAACGACACCGCAAACACACACAGCAGCGGGCTGCTGCCCTTTCGCTTAGTACCCTAGCCAGTCCCAAAGGGGGTAGTGGCACAGCGGGCACCGAGCCCAGCGACATCATCATCCCTTTACGGACTACAGAGAACAACTACTGCCCCCACTATGAGAAGGTGAGTGGGGACTACGGGCACCCCGTCTACATCGTCCAGGAGATGCCACCCCAGAGCCCGGCGAACATCTACTACAAAGTCTGAGTGCCCAGTGCAGCCTCGGGCCCAAGGGACAGATGACCTGGATGGACCTCTCCTTTTCCCCCCACACCCCTCCCCTTGCCAGCTGTGCCCACCTTTGTATTTAGTTTTGTAGTTTCTTGGCTTTTATAATCCCCCTTTTTTCCTGCCCCTTGGGCTTCGGAGGGGGGTGCTTGTGCCCCCGATCCCCATGCTCTTGTGCCTTCCCCCTCTGGCCAGGCCTCTGGGCTCTGTGGGGGCGCCCTTTCTTGGAGGGCAGGGTTGGACACTAATGGACAGCAGGCAGGGAGACAGCCCCCTGGCCCTGCCCCCTCCCTTACCCCTTTCCCCCTTCCCAGGACTGCTTGTCCACTATCATCACTGTTTTTAATGCTTTTGTGTTCATTTTTTTAGCTGTCAACTCATTTTCATCTGTTTTTTTGAAGAAAAATAGAAAAATGTACAAGGCAGCCCCTCCCCAGGCTTTCTGAGCCTGGCCTGACCCAGTATAAGAGGGGCGTAGGACAGGATGTGGCCAGCCAGGAAGCATAGGATGACATTTCTTTTATAGACTCCTTGGTTGGTATGTCAGCGGGTAGGGGAGGGCCGGCCAGGGCTGTTCCTGCCCATGGGGGAAGAGGAGAGTGCCATTGGGCAAGAAGTCCCACCCTCCCCTCCTGACCCTCCTTGTATAAAGCTGATCCTGGCAGTGGGATAGTGGCTGCCACACTTCCACCAAAAAAAAAAAAAAGTCCCTTCCTTGTGGGATTCTTGGGCATCTCCTGCCTCCCTCACTCTCACGGTAATTAATGTCTTAATTGGCTGTTGCCTGGGGAACAGGAGAGCTGCTGCAGGCAGATGACCTCATGGGGGGGTGGAGGGAGGTGAGGTGCCCAGGTGGCTATTTGCCCTGCAGAGCTGGGAGTTCCCCCTGCCACCCTGTTCTCCTCACCTTTGGCATCCTTTGGTCTGGTGGGGAAACAGAGGCCCAGGGTGGAGACCTAAGCGGGTAAGGCCAGGTGGCCTCCTCTTTTTCTGGGCTCTAGTACAAGTGGGAATCCCCCACCCAACCTGGCTCCCACTGGCTCCCCCCTAGTCTTGGGCTGGGGCCTGGAAAGAGGAAGAGGCTGCCCGGGGCTGGGCCAGCAGTGCACTTTGACCCCGGCTCCTTGCCAGCAAGGCTGCTAACAGACTGCCACTCCATTGCGCCTTGTAGGCACTCCCTAAGTGGCCATGGAAGGAAGGAGGTGAGCTTCCACCATCCACCTCCACACTGCCTCCTGGCCGGCTGCCCACCCCAGTGCCAGGTGGGAGAGGGAGCAGAGCAAGCAGCCAGCCCCTTCCAGGTGGCAGTCGGAAGGGTTTTTGTTTTTGTTTCTGTTGCCATTTGTGTAAATACTAGTCTTTTTGGAAGAAATAATGTAAAGATGTTTTGTATAAACTCTGAATTATTTTCTTGTTGCTTTTTTCTTAGAAAAAAATGAGAACTAAAAAAAAATTAACCACATGGAGAAATGGGTGTAAAATGGTGTCATGATGTTGAGGAATGGAGTGTGAAAGTGTTGGCGTGTGCATGTGTGTGTGTCCATGTGCAGGTGTGTATCTGTGCATATGTGTGAGATATCCTGTGTTCAAACCACAGATCACTGGGCAGGTATGGGGAGGGATGACTACTCTAGCCAAGCAAGATGTTTCAAGTGCTTATGCCCCTCCTGCTGTTCCCCACCCCCAGGTTTCTCTGCCCTCTTTTTCTGCTGTCATGGAACCTTGGTCCATTTTCCCCTGTCCATCCTGTCACCTCGGTGGCACAGACCACAGGCATCTGCCCAGTCTGGCAGCAGACTCAGCCAGGAAGGGTTGATGGGGGAGGAGGTACTCCCATGGGCACCTGGGTGTGTCTGCAAGGTACTGCCACCACCTGGCTGGGGCTAGATCAGGGACTTGCTGGCAGGTCCAGCCCTGCCCTGCCTCAGGATGCCTGGAGGTGGATAGAAATAACTTCCCAAGAACAGAGCCTCAGCTGTGGCCCATTGGGTACTAGGGTGGCTTCAGACCACCTAGTTACCTCCCTGCCAGAACAGTCTCCCCTTTCTTGTCTTCAGAGCTGGGCCAGCAGAGTCTTCACCATGGTATACTTGGGGGCCTCTGGCTGGCAGTGGAAGCTCTCAGGCTTGAGCAGCCCTGAACACCCGACCTCCCTCCCACAGGCTGATGAGTAACTTGCTTGGGTCAGAGAGTATGGTGAGGGCTCCAAAGAGGATTTGGCCTCCATCCCACAAGAGAGTTGCAGGCTGGGGGGACTGGTGCCTTCTTGCTGCAGCCTGGAGCAGCCTGTGGGGCTTGGTGGGGGCTCCCTGTGGGGATAGCTAAGAGATGTCAGGGGAGGAGGACAAGTGAGATTCCACAGTTAAGATGGGTAAGAAGGCAGTAGAGGAAAGGAAGAGGAGGATGGAAGGGAAGGGTGATAAAGCATCTAGAGCAGGAAGCCCCAGTGAGCCAGCCAAGGAGCAGGCAAGTCCCTGTGGGAAGTGGGGAGCTCATGGAGAAGGAAGGGGGAGGAAAACCCTGGGACTTGCAGGCATGGGGGAAGGAGGCTGGGTTAGAGCAGGGCTGGGCTGGGCTGGGGTGCTCCTGCAGCCAGCTGGGGCAGAGGCTGTTTATTTGGTTTCTCATTAACCAAAGGAAGTGCCTGGATCAGATGAGGCCTCTGCCGTTTGACTGCCTGCCCAGAGTGGGGCCTAGCCTGCACCCGGAGTCTAACCAGGGCTGGTTCAGGCCAGATTAGTACTCCAACTTGGGTAGAGCTGGACCCAGGTTGGGCAAACCCTTCTTTCACTCCAATGGAGTATCCTGTAGTTATCCCCCGCTCAGTGCTAACTGCCCTTGCTGACAGGTGGGGGATGGAGTTCCTGGGGGCCCTGGGAGTAAGCTGGGAATATAAAGGAAAACTGGAAGGAGAAGGCCAAGGGAAGTATGGGGCAGTGCATTGGACAGCCCAGAAAATTTGTGACTGCCTATTTCCTGGCATGGTTGCTGTTGTTGGCACTGTTTAGTACTTCCTTCCTTGTGGCATAGTATCCTTCACCTGCACGGTGCCTGGCACTTTTGCCAAACACACATTTTATCTCATTGAGCCTCATAAAATGACCTCTGAGGGTGATAGGTGGGGAATTAGTTGCCTCATATTTGAGAGGAGGCAACTGAGACACTACAAGGGGCTGTAACTTGCCCAAGAACACACATCAAGTGGATAGGGGCACTAAGATTCAAGTCCAGACCTTTTATTACACCATGAATGAATAGAAGTTCCCCCGAGAGTGAGGGGTGTGACTCCCCCTTCCTACTCCCCCACTTCTTGCCTCTGTATTTCTTGGGGATCTTGAAGAACAGGAGCCCTCCCCACCCCCATTCCCTTTCTGTCTGTCTGGGTCAGGGAGGAACCAAGTTTACTTACCTGGGTTAGCATCCAGTGGTAGGCCCCAGACCTGCCCCACCCTTCGCTCTCCTTCCTGTCCCATCTGGGCCCAAAGCTCCTGGTGAGTCAGGGGTAGAGGATGCTTCCCAGGTGAGGGTGGGGCTTCCTGGCTTCCCCTGTAGGCTGAACCAAGTTTGCCTATGAAGCCAAACTGAGCAGGTGCTAACCAGGCCTCAGTTTCCCTGAAGGGACAGGTTTTGTACAGCTGGAAGTTCTTGTGACCTCATTAGCACTGGGTCAACTCCCAGGAGAAATCGTCGTGGCACAAGGGATGTGGATGCCCTGGCACCCTCTAGGCAGGGGCATGACAGAACCCAAGAAGAGACCCAGGCCCAATGGGCCATCCTAGGTTGGGCCCTGCTGAGCAAGCAGCCCTCTGGCCACCTGGCATCAATCATTCTCGGAAATCCGGCCTGCCTGCCTGCCTGCCTGGCCTCCTGTCCTGCCTGGGCACGTCACAGTCCCACTGATACCCCAGCTGAGTCAGCCCCAGCCTGCTTGGGGACCCTGCTTGCCCATCTGCTGCTGGCGGCTTCCTGCACAGCTGGCATTGGATCTGGGGGGCTGAGGCCCCAGCTGGTGCTTGTTAGGTTGGCTCCCCCTTTAGGGGATGCTAAGGGGGAGAATAGCCCCACCCAGGATAGGGGTCACAGAGCCCAAAATGAAAGCAACAAGGACATGGGGGAGATAATAATTGCAGGTTCTGTTTCCAATGGTTAATTACCGAGCTGGCAGAGAAAGGAGAGGGAAAGCAGGAGTGTGTGTGGCGGGGTGGGGGGGGGGGCGGTAAGTAAGAAACTTGGGAAAGGATATGGGAAGGTGAGAACTTTGCCATGGGCCTTGCATCTAGAGGAAAGAGCCCCAGTCCAGCTGAGAGACAGGAGACCTGAGGGCTTAACCTGTCCCTGCAATGACTCCCTTTTTAATAAGGTGCAAGCAGGTCCATGTGTCTTTTGGCCCTTGTTTCCCTATCTGATAATGAGGTAGTAGTATGAGATTTTTTTGTTTATTAAAAAAAACATTTACTGAACACCTGCTATATGTCAGTCAGTAGCCTGGGCATTGGAGTACAGTGAGAAGCAGGCTAGATGAGGTCCCTGCTCCTAGGTACCTCCTATTCTAGAAAGGCCTCTTGTTTTGTCTTTGAGACAGGGTCTCACTGTGTAGTCTAGCTTGGCCTTAAACTCACAGTCATCCTGCCTCCACCTCCAAAGTGCTGGGATTACAGGTATGTGCCACCTTGCTCAGTTCTTAGGTCTTTGAGTGCTTGGCTAACTCGATTCTACTTGTGTGGTGACTGGGTTGTGAGTATGTGAGAGGCAGATTGGAGGATACACAGATTAAAAACTAGGGTTCTAAAATATGCATTCATCTATTTTTTCAACAAATGTTGAAAGCATGGCACTTAATAAGTACCAATGAATGGTTGGCTGCTCCAGTGAGGAGGGATGACTTTGGGGCTGGACTTAACTGGAGTTCTTCTTGCTTTAAGAATGGACCTCAAGATCTGGCTGTTTCCATCATCACCGACCAAAACTGGCCTTTTGCAGGGTCCCTAACTATCTGCAAAAGAAGCTACACTGCAGCTCTAACACCAGCCTGTTCCCTGCAACCCCCAGCCTAGTTCCTGAGTAAAATGTCCACAGGACAAACGTTTTTCAAAGCCTATAGGAGGAAGCTGCCCAGTCTAGAAAGGTATCCTCTATGGCTGGTCTCTCCCAGCCACCCCAGAGGTGAGGGGTGAGGAACTGGCTTCTGAGGGTAGACCTTCTCCCCTTTCTCTGGTCAGATACCTAGGGAGAGAGTCCTGTGGCTCTGCCAGTTCCAGATTCCAGGAGAAACCAGGTTTGCTCCCTAGAATCCACTCTTGTACCCAGACCCTACACTGTCTGGATTTTGCACATCTTTCTTTCAGGGACTGGCTGGCAGCCTCGCTAGCTGCCTTCATGCCTGCTTAGGTAGAACTGGAGAAGTCGGGGGCCAGAAATGGTAGAGCTGGGGATTTCCCGAGAGCACCTTCCCAGACCAAACCCCTCCTAAAGAAACTGAGACCCAGAGACTGGAAGGGATTTATCCAAGGGCACACTGAATGCTAGCAGAGCCAGGCCTAGGAACCAGCTACCTTGCCTCACAGGCCAGAGCTGGCTGCCCTTCTTCTTCAAGGTGGCTTTGTTCTTCCAGAATCCCTAGGAGAGAGAGAGAGAGTATGAACCAAACAAACCTAGATATACTCAATATTTATATTGACAAACTGTAAGCCTACACAAGGCAATTACTAAAACGTCACAATATATTCCTGAGGGAAATAGCGCCCTGGGAGATTTAGATCTGGTTCAAAGCTGACCAAGAGTCTGCCTCCTTCCCTTCCCCAGGGGCCCCTCTCCTGCTGCATCTCACACAGTTCTGAAGCACAACAGCATCAGATCCACTGGTTTGTAGCTCAGACTCATAATTGGGTGTCTCTAAGGCCGAGCGGAAGCTTAAAGATTAGGTGGCTTCACCCAGGCTCCCCTCAGAACTATCCTCTCTCCCTCCCTTCCCCGCCGGGCTGCCTGGGCCCTTCTGCCAGCCTGACACTTAGAGTCCCTGCCCTGTCTTCAGCCCCCCTGCACACACTAATAGCCATGGCAGTAACATGCTTTCACATGCAAATTGCTATGGAATTCTCAGCCCCTGCCGGTGCCCCAGCCCCCAAGGCCTCCCCCTGGGCAGATTCAGAGAAGAGAATGGAATCTTTCAAGCTGTTAGGGCATTTTGAGACTGTGGAGTCCAGCCCCCTTGTTGGATGGATGGGAAAACTGAGGCCCAGAGAAGGGAGTCAGGAACTGCCCAAGTCACGCAGAGAGTTCACCAGGACTGGCCCTCACCCAGGTCTTCTGACTTCCAGCCCACTGTCTCTTCAATACCCCCCCACTCCGCCTCCTCCCATCATGGCTTGTTTACTGTGGACCCTAGGCCCTAGGATCCCTCCCTCTGGCACCAAAGCTCCCCCAAGCACCCCTCCATGGGGCCTGAGAGTATGAAATCCAGAGAAGAAAAG